ATGTATGCACTTAATAGAATAATGTAACGTTTTCAGCTTGTGTGAGATATCCATATTAAATCTTTATATTAATAATCCCTGCTGTGATTATTTAATTTGTAACCTGCACGTTGTAGCCCTGAGAGTTGCAACCATCATCAGATTCACTATATACATCTGCGTTATCATGCTAAGAAACATTTTGGATGTGTTTCAGTCTGCACTTAGTCGAAAGTGATTTAGTTTGCCACAATTAAAGCATTTTTTCCCATATGTCGGACATGACACTGTCCATTAATATGATGTCTGTTTCATTTGTTACATAAAGCCGTCTCAGTATTTGAAGCCTCATCACACCATCCTCCGTGCTTCCTCGCTGCTACGGCTGCTTTGGCTCCTCCTGCCTAATGTTGCTTCACTTTCCCTCTAGTTACTCTGTCAACATTGTGTTCTCTTAAAGTTTGAGCATGAGCTTTGCTCAATTCAGCTGCTTTCCGTAATTCAATTGCTTTTTCCAAACTCAGATTATTTTCTCGCAGCATCCTCTCCTGTAAACTGCCATCTGATACTCCAAGGACAATGCGATCACGTACAACAGAGTTACTCTGCTCACCAAATTCGCAAGATTTTACAAGTTTTTTCAGGTCAGTCACTAAATAATCAAAAAGTTCCCCTTCTTGTTTTCTCTTATTGAATAAAAATCTCTCCACCACAACATTTGTTCTAGGGGTCGTGAAAGCTTCAAACCTCTCAAGAACTTTTTCATAGTTGCCCTAATCTTCTGTTGAAAGATTGAGCGTGTTGAACACTTCAACTGCTTCCCCACCAGTGGCATTTAAAAAATAAACAACTTTCACATCTGAATCTTTTGAAGCTTTCATATAAATCTGGAACAGCTGCTTGAATCTGCACCAGCCTTCGGCCACATTGCCGTCAAAACTTAGGCCTTGCGGTGGGCGACAAAATTCCATCTTGTGTCTGCTGAGAGGAAAAACAACCAAAGGGATTGCCTGGCAATTAGTTGTACTACTACTCCACACGTCATGTTATAATCATATTAATATTTCTTGATCTATAATTAAGTTCATTACAACACGCTCACATAGCACATCGTTTATTCCAAACCAACATAAACTGACAATTACTTCACTTCAGTTCGACCAGCAACTAGTGTGTTGCTACATATATGTAACAGGCAAAGCTTTCAATGCTCTGAACTAACAACTCTCAACATTAACAGCTCCGGACAGATTTCTCATATATGAAGTATGGGTTTGCCATGAAATCTGGAACAGAAGCTGAACCAATTCCAGTGCAGGATTTATTTTGAGTGCTTATCAAATGGGGCTGAAGCCAGCTGTTTTAAAAAGGCATTTATGTAGCAAACATTCGAGTGTAAAAGACAAAATTATTGAATTTTTAAAAGAAAACATTCAGAGTTTGCTCTCAAAAATGTCAAAACTTTTAGTAGTATAAACACTAAATATGTAAGAGCATCATATTTAGCTAGTTTGCATATAACTAAGTGTGGGAAACCACATACAATTGGAGAAGCATTTTTGATGCTTGCAAAAAAGGACATAGTTGCATCTGTCCTTGGAGAGAAAGTAGCTAAAGAAATTGACAAAATATCACTGTCTAATATTATGTCAAGCTGCAAATAGGTGAGATGGCATCACAGGTTGAAGATATTTTAACCAAAAGATTAAAAGCAAGCGAATTTTATTCCCTCTAACTGGATGAAAGTACTGGTATTTCCAATTTGGCACAATACTTATATATATTCGGTTTGATTTCAACAAAGAAATACAAGAAGTTTTATTTTGCAAACCATTAACTGCAAGAACAACTTCACAAGAAATATTTATAACTAGTAATGATTATTTTATTAAAAATGGCATAAGTTTTGTTGGACTTCGTACTGAAAGTGGCACAAAATGGTGGTGGCACAAAAGTAGCACAAAAATGCAAGGTCTATGCACTGTATCATTCACTGTGAAGCTGTGGCTACAAAATATATGCCAGCGAATTTAAAAGAGGCTTTAGATGAGTTGGTAAAGATGGTTAATTTTATCAAGTCTCAAGCACTCAATTCGTGTCTATTTTCAATGTTATGTGGTGAAATGGGAAGTGCCCATGCTTCCCTTTTACTCCACACCAAACTATAGTGGTTGTAACATGATAGTCCTCAGTCGTTTGTTTGAGTTATGAAATAAAATTTGTATTTTTGTTTTTTTTTTTTTTTTTTTTTTTTTTTTTTTTTTTTTTTTAATATTTGAATGGAGATAGACTAGCATACCTTTCAGACTTTTTCCAAGACTAGCATACCTTTCAGACTTTTTCCAAGATTAAGTGAACTAAATTTGAATTTGCAAGGAGTTAACAATACTGTATTCAACTTGTATAACAAAATAAGTGCTTTCAAGAAAAAATTGTAATTCGTGCAAGAGCAAATTGCAAAACAAAATGTTAACATGTTTCCTTCCCTGTGTAACATTATAAAAGAAAATAATTTGTCAATAAAAGACGATGTGAAGAGTGACATTAGAAATCATATAACATCAACTTTTTAATGTTTCCAAAATTATTTTCGTGATGCCCAAAATTAGATCTGAAATCCTTTTGCATTCATAATGGGGGTTCCAACCATATGATTGCAAAAGAGTCTTTTATACACCTTGTCAGTGACAGTGGATTGAAATTAAGCTTTCAAGCTCCAACTTATTCAGTTTTTGGCTATCTATTTTTAAAGAATAGCAAGAAGTTTCTAGCCATGCAGTAAAATTTTTAATGCCACTTGCAACCATATAGTTATGTTACTGTGAAAGACCGAAATTGGAGAATGTTAACATTCACCAAATACGTTGGTGAAAGATCGAATATTGCACTACATTCTTGTATATTCGGACCCTCACCGGTGTATGTCGACAATCGCAGATATGCTCTGGTGTAAGTCGAAAAGAGAGGTCATAAAGTGCCATAACAATTTAAGTTGTTGCAATAAATAAGATTTGAATCACATAATTTAGTAAGTTTTTTATTACTGTTATTTTATTTTCTCATTTAGAACGTACTGTATAATTAAGTAAGTTTTTAACTTCTATTATTTTCCTTTCTCATTTTGAATGTATTGTGTGTTTTAGGTTCTCATGTTCTTAAGTTCTTATTTCAAGTCTCAAGTGCGTTTATTTGCGACTGAATCATGAAGAAGAAAATATAATATTGTTATATGTTCAACATTCACCATTTAGTACATGGTAAATGTCGACATTGACTGGTGTAAGTCAGAAATAAGAGTATTTGGAAAATATTTCGGACATACACCAAGAGACTATGTGAATGTTGACGTTCACTGGTGAAAGTCGACATTCTCCACATTTCGGTGTTTCACCATAACAGTTATATGAAAAAGAATTTTCTGCTGACATTGAATTGGATCTTCGCCTTAAACTGACAAACATTGAGCCTGATATTATTTCTTTAGTTAATAATAAATAGGCCCAACCTTCTCACTAGTTATATATTTTTAAAAGTGATTATTATATTTTATGTACAGTACAAAGTCTGTAATCCGGACGTTCATTATCCAGAATGATCTATGATCCGGACCTCAAAGCCACAAATTTATGCATCGGCGTTTAATGTTTATGCATGCGCATTTAACAGAAAAAGCGAAGCAACTTAAACAACTTACATTGAAAGAAATATTTAATAAAGTAAACAAATATTAAGCCTTTTTTTTTTTTTTTTTTTTTTTGTAAATTTTGATACTCTTTTAGATTATAATTGCTCTTTATTTCATAAATTACGGTTTCATACACTGGTTATCATAAATTAAGGAAAAATCACAAAAATAGCGATAACTCCCTCAAAAGTAAGCCAAACCATGTAAAATTTGAATATGATGCCAAGTAAGAGTAGCTGAGTAAAACTGCGATATGCAAATTAGTGGTGCTGCTTTTGGAATAAGTCATCTGCGAGGAGCATAAAAGTCCATGTTTGAGAGCAAGCCCACATATTTCACTGTGACAGTGATATCAGAAATTTGAGATAGCCTATTCGTAGCAATGACCTCCAGGCATCATTTGCCTGCAGAACCTACGATGGAGAGCCATTGGGAGACTAGAGGCAGGACAAAGTCAAACAGAAGTGGCCAGATGGCTAAATGCGAGTCTTTCTGTGGTTCATAGACTTTGGAGGCAATTTCAAATCATAGGTTCGGCACCTAGGAGGTTCAGCCAAGGACATCTAACCTCTACGACAAGAGCCGATGACTGATATTTGACATTATGTGCACTCAGGAATAGAACCGCTACTCCAAATCTTCATAGATACTCCCTTGCTGCAGGCACCAAAAGGTTGGTGTCAGCGTCAACTGTGCGTAGAAGGCTTCATGAAGATGGTCTGTATGCGAGGCGAACAACCATTTGTGTGCCGCTAACGTCACGTCATTGGAGGGACCCTTTTGAGTGGGCACAACAACATGTCCACAACAACATGTCCACTGGACGCCTGAACAATGGAGGACGGGTTTCTCTTACGGATGAGGTCCAGGTTTAGTCTAGAAAGCGATAGTAGGCGTTATTTGATATGGAGAGAACCTAGAATCCGTTATCATCCGTCAAACTGCCGTGAGACAGATGCATACGGAAGGGGCAGTGTCTGTGTTTGGGGTGGCATCTCTTTGAGTGTATGCACAGACCTCCATGTCTTTCCAAGGAGAACTGTGAATGCTCAGATTTATAGAGATGACATCCTTGATATTTATGTGTGCCCATATACCGGGACAATAGGTGATGCTTTCCTGTTACAGGACGACAACGCAAGACCACACAGAGCTCGCATCGTATATGATTATCTTCAACAGGAAACAATTATGCGCATGGAGTGGCCAGCTTGATCCCCAGACTTGAATCCTATCGAGCACGTTTGGGATGCTTTAGGAAGACATCTAGCTGCTCTCAATCTGCTCCCTTAGACCCTTGCCGCGCTTGCAACTGCTTTGCAAGAACAATGGCTCTTGCTTCCTATGGAACTGATAGACCGCATAATTGAAAGCATCACAGATCGCTGTATGTGCTGTATTTCTTCTAGAGGCAATCATATTCCATATTGGAGGTACTTTTACTATAGTAAACTGACACACCTTCGATTTTTTCATTTTATACATGTGCTAATTTCTATACTACCATATTTGTCTGGTAATTTCTTTTTGTGTTATTTGATACCTTACTATGTGTTGTATATTGTGGGTAAGTTTCATTAAATTCTACATGTAACTTTTTCAGTAATCGTTATTTTTGTGATTTTTCTTTAATTTATGATAACCAGTGTATTTTTAATTGTATAATTTCTGCATGCCATCTTACCAGATTTAAATTGATGATCTATAATCCGGAATCGCTAAAGTCCCGACGAGTCCGGATTATGGACTTTGTACTGTATATGTTTATGTATTTTTTGTATATGTTTTGCAATAAAAATATATTCCAAGTTACTTGTCTTTATTACAAATGTTCTCTATTGCATTTTATTCACCTTTTCAAAATTTTTTGGTCTACCGGTACATCATCAAATTGTCTACAATGTACAGGTATGGTATAGTACAATAAAAAGCGTAGGAACCCCTGAATTATGATACCTCTTATGGTGATACAGAAACTAGACCAAAGTGTCGCCAAACCATTCCCAGCTTTGCGATATCTCACCAAATTAGTGAGATAGCCATTTACTCCGTGTTAAATACACTTGCCCCTGTATTCTTACTTTTCCGGCAAACTTCTGTTCTTTAGATTTTGATGTTACATTACGCTAAAGGAATACAACAGTTTCACATATAATTTCACTAAAATTATCTATGTACAAAATTCATAACAATGCTAATTAAAAATATGATTATAAACTAAAAACTACAGAATCATTTTCAACTATTCAAAACTCTGTAGTATTTGCCTAAATCTAAAATTAAGGAGCTTTGGGTACAGCATCCATTATTTGGAACCTGGATTTTATTTGGAAATAATAAAGGTAACAAGCAGGCAGACACCACAGCAAAGTTATCTGCATTTAATTTGTCCAGTCAGCTCATCCTTTCAGAGATATCAGCAAGATCATTAAACAAAAAAACTCCTGAAAATGATCTGGGACTCTTGAAAATACTGGGATGTTCAGTTTGATAATAAGTTAAAAATCAGGAAATACGGAGTAAAATACTGGGGTGCTACCAAAAACCAGATTCCTTCTGCGATGTTATGCTCTTTATTGTTGCCAACAGTCTCCTATAAGCAATGTGTTATTGTGGCAAAGATAGACACATTGAAAACTTGTAATTCTAATAAATCCCTCTCCAGTCTCCTATGTTGTGTTGTCATTAGACATTTACAGTGCTCATCTTTTAGAAATTTTACACTGGCAATTTTTGTCATATGTGTATGTCCATTTATAGTTTCTCAATGTGCTAATAAATTTGCACAGGAAAAAGATGTTGCCATTCAAAAATTTTGAAATTTTTCACTGTAACCATAACCGTGAGTGCCCTATTCTTTTCAGTGCACGTACCATCAAATAACAAATACCTGAAATTTCACTTCATTTGGTTGATTGGATAGGCCACTAGGTGTTCATATATTATGGAAGTTTTTTTATGACCACCGTGTTTTTGATGCTTAGTAAAATGCTAATTTAAAATTGGTATGAACATATGTGTTTGTCCTTCATTAATGAAAGTGTTTTCTGCTAATAATTTCATTAAAAAAATTCATTTCTCAAAAATTTATCTTGATTCTTATATATGATATGTAGTATGAAATGTCTTTGCTTTACTATACAAATTTTTCACTGACATCAGGAATGATGTCTAAATGTTCAGAAATTGGATGAAAAAACGCTTTTGCTTAACTTTAATTGGAGATAAAAATTAATATTGCCAATTTGTTATAGAGTGCACCGTGACAGCAAACTCAAAACACATATTTCCCCCTGTCTGCCTCAGACTGCAATACATGTTGGAAAAAAAGTGTAGAAAAATTGTTTTGTTGATTTTTTTTAATCATGTTTAGAGCGTGAAAGATTTGTTTTATGATCTGTGGAAATCTGAAGATTTTATATCCATTACAAATTTAAATGTTGAAATTTTAAAATTATAAACATCAGGTTGTCTAAAAAGTCAAGCGATTTTCAAAAATTCAGAAATGAAATTAAAATTTTCGTAACTGTTTCATTCGAAAGATTTTTTTTTTCACTGTATTCAATGGTATAGGCAGTTAAATTCTGATATTCTTAGTATATTTATTAAACGAAGATAAGTGTGAAAATTCATTAAACATTAAATAATAAAAAAAGTCTAAAATTTTGAAAAAAAAAAAAAAAAAATACATTTGCCACATTGCATTATCATAGACAAACAGTGCATGCACAAAATTTGAATTCTCTATCATATCAGGAAATAGGTTAAAAATAAGTGACAAAATTCCCTCTGCAGTGAAATACCATGAATGAATTAAATAAAAGTTTATAATTATAAAAATTAAGTAATTAGTTCTTATGCTATATATTTGGGTCAAAAATTTTTATTCCTTTTATCTGTGTCTCCTATAAAGTTATTTTTTTTTAATTATTAAACTATAACAATTTTTAGTTATGCAAATTTTTCCTGTACAGTATTTTTACACTTAAGACATCATTTTTTACCTTGCAACTTAATGTTGGTCATTTTGTTACTTAGTTTTTAATTATATAATAAATGTTATGTTTCTTCTTAGTTTCTTGGTTCGAATTTTTTTTATATATATATATATATATATATATTGTTAACAAGTAATGTGTTGATATATGATAATTTAAAATTTGATTTGATATGAAACGTTTTTGTATATGTTGCTTATCATAATTCTGACATTAATTATGTATTATATTTTCAGAGCTTTTTCTTGACTGTCAGTCCTACCTCTATAATGTATATAGTTGAGCATGCATGCAAAAAGAACAAAGCATTCTGCATGAACCTGAGTGCCCCCTTCTTATGCCAATTCTTTAAAGAACCTATGATGAAAGCTTTTCCATATGTAGATATATTATTTGGAAATGAGCAAGTAAGAATTTTATATGCAATTTTATTCCTTTTATTATCTTTATCCTAAAAAATCAAATAGTTATTAAATTTTTAAACACTTGTAAAATTCACATTATGGTGAAGTTTATGCTCAGTAAGCAGTATGCTGCAAATTTATATGGTACTTAAGACAGAAATTTTAATGTTTTTTTATTTATTATTACTACTATAATCTCTGTGATATAATTCTTTTATTATTTAAATGAAAGGAAGAAAGAGGGAAAACATCAGTTGATTATTTATATTTCCAGAATGAAAACATGAGTTTATTACTTCGTAGAGACATTAGGTATTTTATTTTGGAAGCAGGCAAGATGAAAAAGGAGGAAATGCCTTCGCCGAGAATCAAACCACGGACCTCTGGAATACCGTCCCAGCGTGCAGAACCACTACACGACGAAGGCAGGCTAGGAAAGCAGGATAAACACCTTATAACTTCTTTCAAAAGAATGCTGTATTAACATATTAAGTAGAAGATTTTGATTAGTACTTAATAACCTTCCAAAGACATCTGTTGAAAAAAGTAATCAAGGCATTATCTGAAACCTTAGTTTTGTATTTAGAAATTAGATAAAGGTAAATTCCTCATTTTCAAATAAGAAAATATTTTAGTTAAAGTATAGAATGTGTGTATGAATGCCATCAGATGATTTACCTAATACTGACATAAATATCTAGTTGTAACAAAACTCTTCCACCAAAAAATGTTCTTAATAGAGATAGGGAAAAAATGTGAAAGCAGTACCTTTTAATGCAGATAGTTATCACCACCCAAATCTATGATTCTCCGCCAGTTTGGTAGCTTTTCAAAGCCTTCAGCCCAGAAACTTAGCCACGAGTCCCCAAACAGATCAATTTCATTTCGGATGTCCTGTGCAGAATGATAGATAACATCAGTAAGATGTAACTGAGGAAAAAGGGTAAGACTGATTTTCGATCCTGCAAACCTTATGGTATATGCAGAGATTATTGAAACTTTTTAATTGAAATTGAATTCAACCACTATAGTGTACCTGCTACTGGCCGAAAGGTCCATTAACCTCGCCAACAAATATCTTTTTATTAATCAGAAATCAAAAAAATACAAATCATTAAATTTACATTTATACAAAAATTTACAAATTTTACATAAACAGAATATATTTAGGATCACAAAACTTCAATCAATCAATTTTACAACTCTTATTTCATAAGATAATTGGATCATATTCTTAATTAACAAAAACTGTTTTATAAATGAAACAGAGACTATAAGTATTCTTTTCTTATAAGCCCAATAGTAACAAAAAAATCATATTAACCGCTTCCCTAACAAACGTTTTTGAAAAAAATTGCAAAAAATCATCACATTTTTTTTTATTTTATTATTAAATACAATGAAACGAAACAAATCAAAATATGTAGGTTTTAAGTTGAATTTTTAATTTTTTGAAGGTGTAAAAGCATTTATTTTTAATATTAGTTTACTATCACGAGTTATCTCGGGCAAACGAAAAAAAGTTAAATATTAATCTTTGTATGATAGTTTTTGAAACAAGGGACAGCACAGAGTGGTACCTGACGTTCTACACTTGTATCTGGTCTCTTTTCTTACTGGCTTATCGCTGGAATCTCTTTCACGGGAGCACAAAGTACACTGCCTCATTGGATTTGATTTTTTTTTATTTTTTATTTTTATTTTATTTTATTTTTTTTTATTTCTTTTCCCCAATCTTTTCATAATCACTATCTGAAAAATCATCGCTTTCGCTATCTTCCATCATCGCCATTATTTTATTTTTTTCCAACGCATGCATCTTTCTTTATACATTACTAATCCACAAGCCAACGTATACTATACAATGTACCTGACGTTCTACACTTGTATCTGGTGTCTTTTCTTACTGGCTTATCGCTGGAATCTCTTTCATGGGAGCACAGAGTACACTGCCTCATTGGATTTGATTTTTTTTTTCTTCAGTAGCAGGACCTTTTCATACATCTGAAAAATGCCTTGAATCTCAAAAATCATCGCTTCGCTATCTTGCATCATCGCCATTATTTTACTTTTTTTCCAACTGCATGCTATCCTTCTTTATACATTACTAATCCATAAGCCAACGTATACTATACAATAGGGAAAACATGTGACCAGTCCCTTCAAAAGAACCGCGCAACCAACAAAATTTGGAAAACTGCCAATCAAAGCTAAATATTTCCTTTCGTTTCCTCCAGACCGAGTAAAACCGTGATAAAAAAATCGTACTAATGAATTCTGCTTCGCCCGAGTTTTCTCGGGATAATAATTAACTGCAATATATACGAACCCGAGATAGCTCGGGATACAGGCAAGCGGTTAATAACTTATTACAAATTTAAACAAAAAATGCAAATCCTTTGCATATTTTCTTTTTATTAGGACCATTAACCATAATCGGTTCTTCTAATCAATAAATCATATTGTCTTTGTAGACATTCACAATTTTTATCTAGACTAAAATGTCTAGAATCTAACCCAAGTTTATATTTTTTATTTGCTTCTATACAGTTTATACATTCTGGATCTTCCTTACAATCCCAATGATTGTGTCCTTTTCAAGCACATCTAGTACAAATCTGATTTTTTGTACATTTTTATGAAAATGACCAAATTCTTGGCACTTCACCCGTCAGCACCCGCAATGGGACATTTTCCACACCACTCCTATATTTTTAGTAAGAAAAGAAGAAATGCCGTACATGACTGTTCTGGTATTTCCGTTACCTTTCAGGGTTGAGTTCATAAAGGCTAGGGTGAAAGGAATTTTTCCCACGATGTCTGAATGGCTAGATTATTTACAGATAAAGAGCTGTGGGACGGTAGCAACCCCGTGCGGTGTGGAATGTTCTACTTGTATTCACTACTTCAGTCGAAAAGTGAGTAAGAACGTACGAACGTGAACAAGAGAGGACTGCGGGCTCTGCTCGCGAGTGTTGAAACAGATAGTGAAATAGAAGATTCCTGAATCAGAGCATGATAATATATCAGAAAAGTGACCACAATACACATTCTGAACAAGAACATGATGTAAATGATTTATGTGTCACGTCTTCTGTCTCATCCGAAGATTTCTATGTGGATGAAAAGGAAAAGATGGAAACAAACTGGTCTAAAGTATTGCCTTTCAAAAATGTTCGGACTCCGTCGAAAAACATTGTAACCCATTTACCTGGTGTAAAAAAAACAATAGCGAAATTTAAAAACTCCAGTTGATTGTTTACTTCAAATTTTGGATGATGATGATATTCTAGAAGATTCGGTCAACTATACTAATATTTATATTTCAACAATAAAAGATAAATTTTCTAGAGAAAGAGATGCTCTTGAAACAAATGTTAGCTGAACTGAAGGCTTTGTTTGGATTGTTATACTATGCTGGTGTTTTGAGAGCAGCGCACCTGAACGTAAAAGACTTGTGGTCTACTGATGGTTTTGGAAATATTATTTTTAGAAATAAAATGACACTCAATCGTTTCCATTTCCTTTTGAGATGCATTAGATTTGATAATATAAATTTGCGATCACAAAGAAAAGAAACTGATAGACTCGCATCTATTAGGGACATTTTTGAAAAATTCTTGAAGAATATGCAGAAATTGTACTCTCTCTCAGAATATTGCACAGTTGATAAAAAACTTGAAGCATTTCGAGGAAGGTGTCAATTCAGACAATACATGAGAAATAAGCCAGCCAAGTATGGTATTAAAATTTTTGCTTTATGCAATTCTCGCACGTTTTACACATATAATTTAGAAATTTATGCTGGACAACAGCCTATCGGACCTTACAGGCAATCAAATACAGCATCTGATGTTGTCAAAAGAATTTATTTCTCTGATAAAAGGAACATGTAGGAACATAACAATGGATAATTGGTTCATGAGTGTTCCTTTAGTGACTGATTTATTACACAATTATAAACTCCATTAGAATTTTTACCTCGTAAAGGTAGACTTGTACACTCTTCACTATTTGGCTTCAAAAATAAGGAACTTACTTTAACATCGTATGTCCCCCCCCCAAATGCATCGGTCCTGGTATTGTCATCCATGCATGATGACAACAAAATTGATCCAGAATCAGGTGACTAGAACAAACCCGAAATGATGTTCTACAGTATGACTAAAGGTGGTGTTGATACTGTAGACGAATTATGTGGAACATATTCAGTTTCAAGAAAATGCCTACGTTGGCCGCTTACAATATTTTTTTGGACTAATGAATATTGCCAGGATTAATGCATTCATAATACACAATTCTAACCATGAGCAGAGTAATATGAAACAAAGGGATTTCTTGAAGAAATTATCATTAGCCCTTGTAAAAGAACATGCAGTAATTCGATCAAATATCCCATCTCTACCCATTGCACTAAAAATTGGAGTGAAGAGGTTGGCTGGAGTCGATGTAAGTAATGAACCAAAAAATTTCAAAAGAAAAGCTGCGAACGATGTGATATTTGTCCAAGAAAAGACGACTGGAAAACATCTATATCTTGTTTAGAATGCAACAAATTAATTTGTAAAAAACATGTAAATATCTTATGTGAAGATTGTTTTAAAAGTAAAGATTCTGAATAATTAAAGGTATGTTTTTCAGTTATTGTATTACTGTACTTAATTTTGATAGAGATGAAATGATAAATTGTGTTACTGAACTTAATTTGGAAAGAGATAAAATGATAAATTGTATTACTGTACTTAATTTTGAAAGGGATGGATTGATAAATTGCATTATAATATAATTAAAAATTAAATGGAATAATTTAATTAGATTAAATAATAAAATCAACGGAATTTATTTTTTAATTAAAATTTGACTGTGAATGTAATTAAAAATAATGTGCATTTATAGATTTTATAGCTTTCTTTTGAATACCGATGATGTACAAGACCTTAAATTAAGTCATATGTTTTAAAATACACTTAAATAAACATATTAAATTAATCTCATGGAAAATT